ACTCGCAACCCCCGCCCTTTCTCTTTGCCCACTCGAAAACGGGCATGTGATAAAACATTCAAGATGTTGATAGCGTATGTATACGTGATCTTGCGAGATTACCGAGTCGGTGTTAACCTGTCCGGAAGATTGGATGCAGAGGTTTGGGTGGGAACCAAAGAGAAAATATTATTCCGCATTAATTGGGATGGCATGTGACCACCAGATCTTACCGCGCTTGTTTCAGCCAATCAGACAACAGACGACCACTTTTCGCCTATTGTGGAAAATAATATGGGAAATCGAGACCATACATCTTTTTCGAATCCAGTCAAGTTTTTGGCAAAAATAAGTTTCCGACTGACTTCTCAGGGATTTGGCGTTTCTATTGATATATAATCTGTTCTACTTACCCCAAAAAACACGGAAGATCTTGATTTTTTAAACTACTCGGAAAGTCATTAAGTTTCTTACCGTCATTTTGGAAAGCTGTTACAGGCTGTTCATTGTCAGTAAAAACCGGAAAATATCAGGAAATGCAATGTCAATAGGGGAACATCAGGAAAATCGGTTATGGATCAGGAAATTCTGATTGCCTCAAGCATTTTTCAATCGTTTGATTCAACGCATTAAGTATTTTTCTTCATTAAATCAAAAGGAGTGTCAATTTATTCACTCCAAAAATCAGGAAAATCCAAAATTAAATTTTAGTAGACACCCTGTATTATGGACCATGTGGAATATTCCCATTTGCCTCCGGTGATAAACACAAAAATACGAGGATTTAAGACCATGAATTCGATCATGTAGTGAGAACTTACGGTAGTAGTCTGTGTAAGTATAAACTTGGGCGCCACCGCGCCACCCATTGCGAATTTGCGACCCTGCCATTTACTATTGCGGAGTCGCCAGGACGCCAATAGCCGTCTGTATCGGTTCTTGTCAATTTGCCCAATAGATCTGCCCCGTGACCCACATGGATCCCAACCAATACTCAGGACACTCGACATTTTATTCAAACCGCTGCCTTACAATACATTGCGAATCGCAAGATTGACACACTGACACGCTGCCGTTTCCACCGCTAAAGAAAAGAGTCCATTAGTATCTCATCATATCCTTTCTCAACAGCAATCAATTTTTGCTCGCGCTAATTGGTATTTATTTACATTTCACTGAAAAGGTCAAGGAATATAGCGCAAATAGTCGAATAAGTAGGAAATACCGGGGAAATCACCGTTTTAGCTGATTTTGATCGTGGCTAGGGGTTTTTTTTTTCGGCGATCGTCGGGCGATGATAGAAATTTATATTTTTCAGCAACTTTAGCCGGTGCCATTCGACCATACGCAAACCAGAGGCGGATCTAGCAGGTTGGCGACAGTGGATTTCCTTCATTTAAACCAGTGTTGAATAATCGATTCTTGTCGGAGTATTCGGCCACTTCGAGAATCGATACATTTCCTCGTATTTGAATGGGGATAAAGAACAATGTTGCCAACTTCGTGGATCCGCCGACAACTTCCTGCCGCTTTTTCCCATAATTTGAATCTCTAGAAGTAGAAATTTTGCCCAAATTTTATCAAGTAAGTAACCCGATCGGAAATTGTATTCGAAGGTCAGTAAAGTTCGGTGAAGCCAGGGAATTAGGAAATAAACACATTACGGCTGATACGGGATTTTTTTCTAACATTCCAAGACCCCGAAAAAAACTCATCATTTTTTAATCGTAATTTTTTTGCCGGAAGAATTGTATGATTTTCAAAAGATTGAAGAATTTGACATCAAACAACTATAATAATGTTTGCGGAGGGTGAAGGAACTAGTCGATGGACACGCACCACTGAAAGACATTTGGATTGCATTTTGCAAAAAGGAACCACTAGCATTGCAATGTTGCTAAGATTGTGCAACTTCTTTTGTCTTGGAGGAAAAACCCGATTATCCATTCATAGTTTCTATTTTACTTGCTAAAAACTGTAAATTTAAGACAAAAATTACCATCTAAATTTCATAGTTTTGCACGATTTCCGCAATTTTATTGCAAAAGATGAAGTTGCACAATCTTAGCATCATTGTAATGCTAGTGGTTCCTTTTTGCAAAATGCAATCCATTTGTGCCCCGGAGACTGTTCAGAATTTGCTTAGTTGATTCCAGAGATGTACGAGTGAACGCCTTAAACTATACACTTGAAAAAAGTGCAAAAAGTGAATATCACTGTTCTCCTGGAGTTGACTTTGATGGGCTTTTTTCCTAATTGTAAGATGGCGTCACCTTTTCACTTTACCTTTTGTTGCTCCCGCACGCGGCCGGTGTGTTGGTGGCGGAGTTAAGTGCAGAGCGCAGTCTTTCACGAGTTTATCGTCACGCGCAAGACACGTCCAGTTGAGCAGAAAGTCTCTAAAAGAGTCGCCGCCCGCACAAATATTTCTAACACGATGCCAAATATCGCAATTTAACTGCTTTAAAAAATTGTAGGACGTAGATTTTGATCCGGGAATCAACTTAATAATCCCTCACACTGGAAAAAAAAATACATTGGATCTAGAGTCCAGACTCTTGAAAACATTAACAAGAAAAAGGACTCTTGATTCAATCAGTTTTAAGCTTAAATCAAAAGGAAATCCGCTCAAATTAAGAGGCTTGGTTCTTGATTTAAGCTTAAATCTGATTGAATCAAGAGTATTGTTTCTTGTCGATGTTTTTAAGGGTCTAGACTCGAGATCCAATGTGTTTTTTTTCCAGGGCACAGCAAATTTTTTATCACAAGTATTTTTACGTAAATGTGCGTTGAAACTTGTAAAATTTACATTTCAGTCAATACACATGGTTTCTGCCGGTCTGAAATATCTAAAAAGTCAGGGAATATGAGGCATCTTAAGATCAATGTTCTATATTTGTTAACTAAAAGTGCTAAATTTGTTTGTACAGAGATGTACTAATATTTAAAAAAAAAGAAAAAAAGAAAAAGAAAAAAAGAAAAAGAAAAAAAAAGATCAGGGAAAATCAGTGAAATTATAGAAACATCCGGGAATCATACTGCAAGTAGCGCGTCGGTTTACTTACCTTAGGCGATGTCCTTCGAGAGGGCGCAAACAACTGCTTCATGCCTTTTTCCATAATTTGAATCTTTAGAGGCGGACATTTTGCCCGATGTACAGCAAAAGTCTGCGTGTTTAAGAAGAAAACGAATCTATATGAAAGTTTTACAGGAAGGTCAGAAAGAATTTGGGAAAAGTCAGGGTCCTGGGAAATGAAGAAATAGATGGAATTTCTGATATAGGATTATATTTTCTTACAGGATTCAATCTGCTTTGACGTAGATTTTAACTAATTTACGAGTTGGTGTTACGAAGCAACAGCAAGACGTATTTACGTATACCTCCAGTCAATTCAGTTATTCGGAAGTTCCTTTTAACGTTGGTTGAATGCGGAAAACTACTCTTCCTATCAAAAGTCATTTTATCTTTAAAGGTACCTTCCAAGATCTCTGATGAGTTGAAATTTAACACATTTCTGAGCTATCAGAGCCAGAATGTATAGAATTTGATCAAAATTTATTGAAGATGATATTGTCATCATAAAACACGACGCCGTACAAATGTACCTAGCCCAAATTTTAAATAGGCAATTTTTTTGTTCCCTGAAAAATGTAATAAAGGAGAAAGTTCCAAACAAACTCTCCATTTATTTTACATAATTGATCAAAATTTACTGAAATGTCTGGCACACCCCTTGTGTTTCGCTTTTACAAACGTGCCTAGTTTTCTGACGAAATAGGCAACTTTGCGCTGGAGCTACTATCACCACGGTAAGCGAGTGTAATGCAGCACGTAGCGTAAGCCGGTATAACTCCGCACTGCAACAAGAAATCAATGTCGGTGGACGATTACGCGGTTTCATTTTGTTGGACGAGCAAAAATGTGGTTCTCCACTCAGCTACCCATTGTGATAGCGTCTATTGGTGGTAGTCTGTGAGGAGACTATTATAGCGGTGTCTGTCACGCATAGTCTTAAGTTATTTTCTTCCAAAGTGCACCTAGGGCGGAAAAAAGTAAGAGGAATGTCCTAGAAATTCTTGGAAGTTTACCTTATGACATTTAAGTGTTTGCGTAATATTTTCTTCTCGCAATGGAATTTTCCGAAATTTCCCTTCGCGTATAAGATACCCACATCTGCCTCTTTACTCATAGGTGCACAGAATAAAGCAACAGGAATGTATCTTGCTGTCCATAACTCAAGTAGTCGTGATCGCGATAAGTTGCGATTCGATCGGCGTCGATTTATCGCGAAAAATGCGATTTTATCACATAAAATTGCAATGAAATCGCGGATTTTACTAACTGCAATCCATCGCGATATTATTGAACAATAAGTCGTGATATCTTGATTTGGAATATCGATTTTATCGAATGTGATTTTGTAGAGATAAAATTGCGAAAAAATTTAGGATAGTCGCTCAGGTGTTGATGCTCCTAGTGATTTCATTGTCAAAAACACTCAATTTCAAAACATCGCGATTTTTCCGTTGAAAAATGCCACCTGAAAAGGTACACAGAGAGAAAAACTTCGTGCGTGGGACCCGAAGTTGAGGTTATGTGGATCTCTGAAGTTTTCGGATCACGTACCTAAAAACTTGAGGTCGAGCTGCCGAAGTTCGGGTCAGACATCTGAAGCACTTCAATATATACCGAAGGGTTCGGGTCACACATCTGAAGTACTCCGGTACATACCGAAGTGCCTCGATGTCTGACCCGAACTTCGGCAGCTCGACCACAAGTTTTCGGATGCGTGATCAGAAAACTTCAGAGATCCATATGACCTCAACTTTGGGTCCCATGCACGAAGTTTTTTTCTCCGTGTAGCTTTTATAGCTTCAGGGGAAGGCACCGGGGTAGCTAAACAAGTGGGAGAGGGGGGCTACTAAGGGTCTTTCATCCTTCGAGAGGATCCTGGTTCTTACAACGACCCACCGATGATGCCACTTTAGTCTAATATCACTCTTTGTATTTCTGTTCCCAGCGGAGGAGGATGAAGAATGGAGCGAGGGGGAAGCCGAGCGGAAGACCAAGTCCCCGGCAGGGTCGGAGGCGAGCGAGGGCGCAAAGGGAGCGGCGAGCCCTCGGCCCTCGACGGCGTCGCCCGTCCCTGGAGCGGACCCTGCGGGGGCGGCCGAGCCCTCCGAGTCCCCGCCTGCGCCCACGCCGCCGCCGCCCAGGGTCCGGCTCAACCCGAGCTTGGCCACGGACCCCGCGCTGAGGCTCAAGACCGAGCAGGAGGAACCCATGGAGGTGGATCAGGCGGAGGCGGAGGAGCAGCCGCCCCCGCCCGCCGCCGCCACCCCCAAAAGCGGCGGACCCACCCCCACGCCCACGCCTACGCCCCCGCCCACGCACATACCCACCAGCGCCGAGTTGGAATACATCGCATCTCTTCCGCCTGTTCTCCAGACCGGTGAGTCACTCTTTAGCCAACTCGTAGTTTCCCTCACGAAAGAACGTAACTGCATTTCGATGTTGCCAAATTTCCTCTAGAAACTTGGGAATCTGGGAATCTCTAATTGATTAATTCACTGATTTTCATCTGATCTCATGCTAAAATCAGACATTACTGAACAAAAACAAGTATTTTCTTGTGAAAAAGCTGAAGTTTTTTGAGTCAATTTTGCAACATTGGAATGGAGTAACGTCCCTTCGTCCGGAGAATGACAAATTAAGCCCCTTAAAATAAAATAAGACTACTGACAATGTTTTTGAAGCGGGAAGCTTAAGAGACGCATATTTTCCCATGCAGACTGTGAATTTAGGCTACGTTACTTTTGAGAAAATTCTATGTCTGTCTTAAGCCGAATCAAGTCATTGAAGTGCAGCAACATGATGAAAGTAAGAGGTACGGAGGAGGGAGGCTTTATAGGCAACAGAGATGGACTTCTGGCCTACATCCGCTGGGATTTCGCTGGGATTTTCGCTGGGATCGCGTCAGAAATGAGACGGCACGGGAGATCAATGATGCCAAACAGACCATCGTGCATGACATTATGACGAAACAACTCATTTGGTATGGTCATGTTCAGAGAATAGCAGGATACAGGTTGCCGAAAAAGGTCCTTGATTGGGTTCCTCCTGGGCGAAGACGCAGAGGGCGCCCAATGAGAGGTTGGAGGGAGGGAATTGAAGCAGAAATGTTGAGGTGCTCAATGCACCAAGGGCTATGGTTAGACAGAGAGCAGGGGGGTTAGGTGTCGTAGAGCGCAAGGGAGTGCTATAAAGCGACCCACATGTACATACGTATGTACGAAACTTCCTGGTTGTTGACACTACTTTAGTTTCATTCGGATAAACCGCTGGGAAGTTTCCTCGGAAAATACGAGGAAATCACGCAAAACAAGCATGATCTAAAGGCAGCTGCATTAATGAATTTTTCGTGTAAAACCGTCTTAAATGAGGATTGATGAATCCACCTCTTTCTCCCGTACTTGCATCGGGCTAATTATCCGAAACGACACTTGAAAAAGTCACGAGAGAGGCAGATGAAAACCGGAGTTGAAAAACCTTAAAATAAAATTATGCTGGAGGAAATGAGTAGACATACATAATACTCAACATTTTATTTTATTTTTTTTTCAATCCGGCGACTTCGGAGGCCCTTGTCTAATCAACCGATATCAAACCCTCCTCAAAACTAAATCTTTTAATATTCGAACCGAAACGAGAGTGAAAAGATAAACAAGTGATAATAAATTACATCTACATCAAAGTTCAAAATATACTACTTAAAAGTAAAGCAAATGAAAATAATCGCCGCATCGATAAGCGGCTAAGATGATAATGAAGATACTGCGCTAATACGGTATTGAGCGGAGGTGAGACGACAAATGAATAGGTGGTTATTAAAATCTCATATTTTTATTTTCTGATGAGCTCTCGAGCTCGTGCGGATGAATTCAAATTAAGGCTCATCCAAAATTTAATACATTAGCTTTGAGTATTTGTCGATTGTAAGAATCATCTCCCCAGCGAGGCCGCTTCACACCTTTATTTGACTTCCCTCTTAAAAATCGATAGTTGATGCCGATAGGAATTTTTTTTCTCAGCGGTGCCCTTGTATGAGGTCTCCTTATCGGTTTTTGAAAGTCTGAGTAGAGTGATTGACGGATCAAAAGGATCGGTTTACATTCAAATCGGCATTTAAGTCTCAACCCCCCTCCCCCATTCTTCATAAAAAAAAAGTTGCTCTAAAAGAGTCATTAAAGAATGATCTCTAGATTTAAAACAGAGAGTCAAACACATTGATCCCCATGCTATGGTATAAAAGATACAGTAAAATAGCGATTTTTTGTTTAGAAATTTAGTTGGTGTTTTTTTATTTGTTACTTGAATCCTCATTTCACAAATAATCAGACAAGGGATACATCTATCGTTGTACAAATGCAATGTTTCAAAATGTCATTTTTTTTAAGTCTTGTAACTGCTGAACGCGCTAACTGACTTATATGTATCTACGTGGTATTTAAATATCTATACAGGACAGCACTGAGAAAAAACTATGGTTTATAAACCTATTAGAGGTAAATATGGAACACCTATAATAGTCGTAAATAAACTAATGATTCTCGGTCTGTGAACCATACTAAGGTCTCTGTACCTAATTAAGGTACCCCGTACCATAACTAAGGTATATGTGCTATTATTATATGTAGAGGTACTACTATTAGTGGTGTTCCATATTTACCTCTAATAGGTTTATAAGCCATAGTTTTTTCTCAGTGAGTAACGTTGTATAATGTATATCTAAAGTTGTCAGGGATTTTAAATTTTAGTTTTAAATGTAAGTTAATTGTTAGTTAATTTCACTAAATAATCGACGGTGAAAGTCTGTAACCACGTATCTCGGAAAACTCGATTTTGCAAGAGAGCGAAAAAACTGCCTACATTTCTCATTGCAGGAGATAGAAAGGAAGTAATTCTTCAAGATAGCAAGGATAATATGCATTTTAACTCTCAGATACCCAAGACTTCTTTACACTCGAAGTCTCAAGGCGGTCAAATACATTGATTTGATGGTTTTAGAAGTATCATCCATGTTATTTCTATGTTTTTTAAGGATCGAAATACTTTTCGACTTTTTGGTAATAAGCTGGCGCTTTCTCACCCCCCTCCTACTCATCAGCCTAATGTAATTCCTTCAGAAGAAATAGCCCGGTCAATTTAGCCCGGCCTGGGATTTCTAGAGGTAGTAAAAAAAAAACGATAGAACTCTCGCGGCAATACCATTTTCCTACGTGCGCCCTTTTTGGCAGAAAAGTTGAAAAAAGAGGGCTCAATTCGTCTCTCCAGTCTTTGGCTGGGTTGTTCACGCAGCTCTTGAAGCACCACTACAAATATAAGGCAAGCGGAAACAACACAAAATGGAAATAGAGCGAGGGTGCGTTGTTGACGGCGCAGAGATACAACTATTTGTACTTGACGGATGTCCGGGTTGCGTGTGCAAAATTGAAGGCGCGCGGAGCGAGGCGTGAACTATGCTGCCAAAGAGGTGTCGCTCAGATTAGGGAGGAATTTCAAAGAGACGAGACTTAATTACATCTCTCTCATCTTCGGCTGTGCTGTTCATACATCTCTTATAAATAAGACCGACGGAACCAACAAAATATGGAAATAGAACAACGGAAAGGACGCGCGTTGATGACGGCGCAGAGATACAACTATTCGTACTCGATGGATGTCCGGGTTGCGTGTGCAAAATTGAAGGCGCGATGGCGCGAAGCGAATTGGAATCAATGTGTTTCGGTTTCTTCTTTTTTGGAGACTTCCAGATTTTTTTCGACCAAAATAATTTGACAGCAGATAGAAGGCATCTACCGCACCTCATGTCTGCAGCTAACTCAAAACCGCCGAAAATCGAGATACTTGGTTGCGGACTTTCACCATCGAAATTGTGTTTTGATTTTTTTTTTTTAAACTTAGCAAATTAATGACATATCGACGGCCAAAGCGCAGAACAACGTATCTCCGTATGCGACGTTGCAGACTTCCCGCCATACCTTATTTTTTCCTTTAGTCAACTTAATTCCTCGAACACTATCTTGATTTTTCCTCTCTGCAGGCTAAATGTCCTGAATAAATTTCAAGCAATAAACCTTGCTTCCCCTGGAAAATGTTAAATAGGAGCGGGAATTTCGAAACACCGCAATGCAGATACATAGTTTCACACTTCAGCTATCGATGTTTTACTGCAGATGGCTTACGTTGAACTTAAATGTCATTTTATCAGAACGTTCCGCCGATCAGGACTGATACCACTATTTTGCCTGATATATTTGTCTATCGATTCCTGAAAATATCTTCGCTTTTTGTATTCGTATCATTTGAAAAACGCACTCTAATAACACTAGCTGGCAGCTTATTTGTCGCTGACTAATTCGTCTGTCCTGCTCTGCTGTGCTAAGGAAAAACGCCGTATGAATCTTCAAGCGCTTCCTTCGATTGAACTCGAATTTCCTGATAAACTTATGGATATTTTTCTTCTAATTTTTCAGATTATTTTGTTCGATATTTCAGCGAAAGTTCCTGAAAATTTCAAAGAAAAATATGCATTAATTTCTTTAATAATAAACATTTCATCTAAGGAAATTTGGCAACTCTCGGCAGTTCATACGGCGTTCTTCTTTAGCATGTTCGCTTCTCTTCAGGTTCCTCTCAGCCACCGAGTGCAGCTAGAGAGCGGCGATAAAAGATGGCTCCTCGTTAGAACAGGTGGCTCAGAGCAAGTGTTCACCTCAGTTTTTTCGTCTCCCAGCTGAAGAGTTATCTCTCTCCGATACTATCTTTCCACAGTTTTTCTTCAGCTCTTATTTGTCTCTTCATTTTCGACTCGCTTTTTGGTGTAAATTTCAATATTTTATTTTGTTTTTTCCCTCAGTTATCGCCTCGGGTCGGTTTTTTTGTCCGCCAGAGCTAGCCCCTGCGAGGCCTACCACGCCACGTGCCTCGAAACATGACGCCCCATCCCCGGCTGAAAATCGACAAGGTAATTTTTCCCCTCGACAATTTGTAATGACTCAATTCTAACAACTTTTAGGCATTAACTGCTTGCCAAATCCTAGAATAAGCCTCGATAAGTCGTTATTTCCCAGTCGAAAGAACATAACTTCATTCCGAGCAAAGGCGAATCCAGCAATTAGGCAACACTGGCTTTCCTTCATTTAAACCTATGCTAAATAATCGATTCTTGTCGGAGCACTTGACCCCTCCGAGATTCGATTTATTTCCATTGGTTTACTCTGAAAAAAGACAATGTTGCCGATTCGCTGGATCCGCCAATAATTCCGAGGTTGCAAAATTGACGTGAGCAATTCAATTTCTTACGAGAATGTATCCATTCAGTTTTCGTTCAACATTTTTTCTGATTCTTTGAGATAAAAAAAAAAATCAGTAAAATTTTTAATTAGAGATGCTCAAGACTCTCCTGGTAAAAATGCAATTTGCGAGGTGGAGTTTGGCAACATTGGAACGCAGTTACGTTCTTTTATGAGGGAAACGACGAAACGTGTGCCTCATTCATATAAAAAATAAAGACGAAAGAAAAGAATTGTGACCTCTGCAGTGCTTTTGATTGATTCCAGGTTTTACATACTTTTCTGATCATAATCACAATATTGCTTTTGTAACAATGTTAACCGGGACCGGACAGTGTTACTGTGACCAAAATAGTTATCACCACCTGTAATATTGTAACCGTATGCACCATTATAAAAATGAGATAAGACCTGAAATTCACCTAAGCGCTGCAGGTGTAGCGATTATTTTTGCCCAGCAAGGGAAATAGAGATAAAAGCAAGAAATAATTATTTTAAACCCAGCAACTATGCGTCCGAAGTGTCCAGTTTAATTGATTAAATTATTCGATCTTTGGAGTCAAATTATGGTCTTTTATCCAAAATCTTCACTAAAAGTTATCAGTTCAAGTTTCAAAAATTTGATTTTAGCATTTGAGCTCCGTTCTAATTGTCCGAGACTGTACTACGTACTTCATTCTCAGCTCTTACAAATTTCAACAATCAAATAAGAAAAAGTCAAGGGGTTCTATAGACAGAAATCCATTTCAATCACCTGAAGTTCTTCCTGTCACTCTCCAAAAATTGTCTAATCTCTTAAATAGTGCTTCGTTTAAGCTCTTGACTATAGACCAAAAATTCATCTCAATTCCACACTGGCGCTCTTAGAAATCTTAGATCCACACCTGTATATTAGTTTTTACAAAAACTTTTTTTAGAACATGTTTTGTTGTTTTTTCTTCTTTCTTTTCATATCTGGTGATTATTTCATGATGTTAATGATGGCTGATTGTTTCATTGTTTTTAAAGGTCCTGTTTTTATGTGTTCACCATGCGGTATTCGATATAGTTCTCTGAGCACTTTGGAGGCCCACCAAACATATTACTGCTCGCATCGGCGAACGGCAAATAAAGGTATGTATCATCAAAAAAACATCAAAACCCCTGTGTTTAAATAATAGGAAAACCTAGAAAAATTATAGAGCTATTTCAAAATAATATCGGGAAAGCCGCGGAAAATTCAGAAAAGTTTGACCCTGGTCAAGAAGTCTTTCAATACTGAGTATCGACATGAGACGGGAACCTCACCGTGGTATCGTTTGAGTTGGTGGGTCGTTTTAAGTAACTTTTCAATGTTTTAAGACTTTTTGTCCTTATCGTAGACCCTGATCGAGAGTTTAAATTCAAGGAAACTAAAGTTGTAAATGTTCACAACCATTTTTTTACAGTCAGAACTCACTAGACCACATTCTGTTCATGATAAATTCAAAGAGCATTGCACTTTTTTATGGTCCACGGCAAGGACAAAAACAATTACTTTTGTTCTTACTGTAGACCATAAAAAGTGCTAAATTTAAGCGAAACTCAATTTTTGACAGCGATGTTCTTTGAATTAATCACGAATATAAAGTTGTCCAGTGTGTTCTGACTGTAAAAAATGGTTATGAACTTTTCAAACTTTATTTTTCTTGAATTTAAGTTCTCGTTCAAGGTCTACAGTAAGGACAAAAAGTCAAAAAAAAAAATTAAGAAGTTCTTTGAACCAACCCGGGTACTTTGGATACTTTTTTCCTCCCAAAAGGTCAGGGAAAAGCAAGTTGGTGTGCACCGAAAAGTCAACGCATTAATTCTCGCAACACAATTTTTTGCTTTTACACCACCCATGCATTCATCTTTGTATGGCACTCATTTTTTGCACCATCAAAAGAAAACCTAGGAGCACTTAACGCTGAGAAAGAACAAAAAATGCAACGCATCTTGATAAACGAGATCAGTAACAGGTAGGTGTTCATCACTGGCAGTTCGCTCATGCACGTGCAGTGCTATGACTGCAACCGGTCCGATATGGCTTAGTTAGTCAGATTCTCATTGTTCGTCGTGCATCTTGAGGTGTGATTGCAAGCAGAGGCTCAAAACGCATCGGTGAGATTCTGAGCCCGGCCCGACGGATGGATAATGGTACCGATGAGGATAAAAAAACTTTAGCGATCGGTGAGGTTAATCTCAGATGTTCAGAAAAGTTATTAATATCAGTGCCCATAAGTGTTTCTATGTCTGTGTGATAAGATATTATGAAGAGCAAGCTTTGAATCGTTGATCGCTGGGAAAACAGTGGTGGGAATAACCAAAGCCAGGTGGAGGAACCTAAGGCACCTGCGACTGCGGGGTAAATTTTAGGGAGAGATATAGGGTAGATTTGTATTTCACGAAAGAAATACTTCAAAAACTGCGTACATTAGATATCTCATCTCAGAGAATTTTCCCTCCTTTTCCTTTCATAATTTATCCTGATTTTGAAACGTTTACGTTTCAAGTTTCTCAAGATCTAGTTTGACGCAATATTTTAGGATTCGTAATACCTTTACTATGTGATACCAACGTGAGTTAGTGCCAATTTTTTTCAAATTTCCAAAAACATCAAAGAACCAACTCCTTCACACAATATTATTTTATCTCGTCTGTCACACCACTTTCATTAGGGTTGTCGTCGTCTTCTTCTTCTTCTTCTTTTTCTTCTTCTTCTTCTTCTTCTTCTTAAACTGCTGTAATTTTTAACGCCATCACATTACAAGGATGCCAATGATCATGAGAACAATTTAACAATGAGTGTGCTACCGTTTTTCCGCGTGACATGCGATAACGTGCGGGTATTAGCTTTCCCACCGCCCGCTCTCCTGTTGGTGATCATAAGTACAGAGGCGTAGCCGGACATTTTTCAAAAGGAAATTAATGTATTTTGGGAAAATGTTCCATTTATAGCGAAGGGGTTGGTTTTAGACTGCCTGGACCTCCTTGGCCACGTCCTGCACAAATAACAACAATTTAGAAAATTTAAAACAGAGCCCTAAAGCAGACAAAACACCATTATCTTGGGGGGCTGATAAGATGATAGAGTATGTGGGACCCGCTTGGAGATTCGTACTTTTCCTATCATGCAGATCACCGATGCCTGGACGACCACACGCGCACCGGCGCGGCGCTTCTCGCGAAAAACACGCGCATCCATCGCCAACACTCGCGGCGTCTAATCGCAATCGCTCTTCAGATTCAGCGCGATAGCCGCCGCGTTTTCCCAAGCTGCGTCCGCGCTTCTGCTCACTTCTGTTCCGACCGTCCAAGCGTCAACTTTCGCGCCTTCACGTGTAGTGTGTGTCCCGCGTGACGTTTGCCCCCACGTGACGTCATCCCCAGGACGATACCCTCAAACATGCCGCATGTCTCCCCTCCGTCCAGACCTATCTTCTGCCGGCACTACATCGGCGTTTTCGCGGTCTTCTAGCGCCAGGGACCATGTTCCGACGAACATGTATGTATCCACCTGTTTCTGTTTTTCATCCACTTTTCGCTGTTCCTCGGTTGGCTTTGAAAATCAAAGAAAGCACATAACTTAAGCGTGATGTATCGAAATTCTTGCTTTTCTATTATTTTTCTCTGAAACACGCAGGTATGCGCTAACTTCAAGTTTACCTGTCCGTTATCGGACGTCTTTATGCTGAAAGGATCCATAAGCAAATGAATTAAATCCAAAAGAATTACGTGTATAGGATTTGCGTGTTACATAGTTCCATCTGACTTAATGGATTTGCACATAGTTCCTTTCAACACAATTATGAAATTTGAATCCTTAAAACGTTTGGACTCACTTTGGAATCATGAAAAATTTCAAGTGATTACTGATACAAGGTAGGGCCACTATCCCGTATTGGACGTGGGAAAGGATGCAGATTTTGATGTTTAAAGTTTATTGCTATAGCACCAGCAAGGACTGGTAAGAGAAGATTTTCCTTCAGAATTCTGAATTCTAGAAGATGACTGTATTACAAGACTGTTTTTAAGCGGGAGACGCCCTAAGCAACTGGGCCATTATTTACTGGAGGATTAAAAACACCCAAGTAGGCATGGGGAAGGTGGTAGAATAGTGCTAAGCCTACATTTTTTTGAGAGGAAAACAAGGCCAACACAGCAAAATAGTGTGGTTCCTGCTCTACCTATCACATTGTTATTTAGAGTTCAGGCCACATTTATAGTGTCTTACTCTTGCAATTATGAAGTTCAATGGAGTGCTGGGTAGTTTTTCGGAAACGCGTTCGGCCAATAGTTTGTATGCGTCCCTATTTGACTTACAAGACCAGTCATATGTGTCTCTTTTTCAAAACCGTCAATGCACTTAAGTTTGCTTAACGCCATCCCTGGAAAAAAACACATTGGATCTAGAGTGCAGAGTCTTGAAAACATTGACAAGAAAAAATACTCTTGATTCAATCGGATTTTTGCTTGAATCAAAACGAAATCCGTTTAAATTAAGAGGCTTGGTTCTTGATTTAAGCTAGATTCTGATTGAATCAAGAGTACTTTTTCTTGTTGATGTTTTCAAGAGTCTGGACTCTAGATATACAATGTGTTTTTTTTCCAGTGATCCAATGTTCCAATAAAAAAATATGAGTTTTTATCATCTTAGACTTTATCCCTTGCATATCCTTCAACTTCATTGCCCTTTGAATTATCTATCAATAAATTTTCTCTCTTTGTTTCTTAGGGGCGGAAAGTGAGAGTGAAGACTCGAAAACGCAAGGCGAGTCGCTCGCGAACGAGGATGCCAGCGGGGCGGAGAGCGGGACAAGCGAACCGGCCCGGAAAACCATCCGGAAAGGAAAAGCGTACCGGTGTCCGCACTGCTCGTACAGCGCCGACAAGAACGTGAGCCTGAACCGGCACATGAGGATGCACTCCACGTCCCCGGCAGCCCAATACTCCGGCGAGACCCAGGTCGACCCGGTCCTCACCTCCTCTCACCTAGTCGACCGCTACTGTCAAGATTGTGATATCCGATTCTCCTCGCTGAAGACCTTCCGGGCCCACAAGCTCCACTACTGCAGCACGAGGCACGTCATCAAGGGCAAGCCCCCCTCGGCCCCCTCCTCCCCCTCGGACAGGGTCACCCCCGAGTCGCCGAGCATCCCCGACAAGGCCGCCATCCCTCCGCAACCCATCCTGGCGTTACCGACCAACCCCATTCTCATCGTCCCCTACTCGCTCTTCCAAAGCGCGAGCGTTCTCTCTGGTGCTGCTGCTATCGGTCTGCCCACGCAGGACACGGCCTGTTTGCTCCTCCCCGATGGCACCCTCCAACCCATGGCTCAAGGAATATTATCTCAGTCAAATCCCTCTTTTCCTAAGCCGCACCGGGCACCCCAGTCCACCGAACCGCAGCAGGTAAGCTCTCAAATCCAGTCACTAGTATAGTTTCATATTATTTTCTAGGGGTCGTCCATAAATGACGTTAATTTGTTTTATTTTTTAACACCCTTCCCTACTCCTTTATGTCAGGCACATATCAAGCAACGTGGAAACCTACCCCCTTCAAAATTACCCTGGACTCCGGTTGGTCCCAGCCCCTCCCCTCGTATTATTCAAGGAAAATTGGTGCTCCGCGTCGCACAGTGGAACATGTCAGTAGGGAAGTCGGACACCATTTGGAAACTATATACTATATACTATAACTATAACTATATACTATATTTGGAACTATATTTGGCTCATATATCCATGTTAATACGGAATGCAGAGGTTCTTTAAGTGGTTTCAGTGGTTTTCTCGCACAAGTTCCTTTAAGAAACACTAGATACAACTTACAATGAGACGGAATTAACATCAAAATTTACAGTTTTGGTCAAAAATTTCATGTCAGACCTCTCTGAAGTGGTGCGGCGTTTCAATCGGAATTTTCGTAAAAATGTGTAAACATTTTAGCCTGGCGTCAAATTCGACCAATCTCATCATGAGGCACACATCAGGTACCCCCTCACCTCCCCCCTTACCACTGCCTTTATGTCTCCTAACGTCATCTATGAAAGTCTTCTTATATCATTTCATATTGAAAAAAAAAAACTTACTTGTGACCGCTCACGGGAAAATGGACTCCGCTTCCAAAATACGCAGAGCAAGGACATTGATGCAATTACTTCGAAAGGTGCTCGACAAACATCATGACTCAAATAACGCGCAATGATTTCAAATCAAACTGAAGTTATGATGGTTACAAGCTGAATCGTAAAAACTGAAGAGAGAGATAGGAAACCAATGTAAATTGATGGCGGGATGGCAGTTGACCTATTGGGATGAAGATAACGTCTTATGACTTGAGGTTAAAATGAAGTTAAAAGACGTGAAAACATGAATAGGTATTTGTTTTGCCCTTTCTCTTCTTTGTCAACCTCTTTTATTGCTCTTCGAGCAACTAATGTCCAGCCACTAAGAACCTTGCGTTTACTCCATCAAAGAGAGGCAAGAAAAATTGAAACGCCTTCAGTTTTTGGATAGGCAACATGGACATCCGTGGAGCACGAATAGTTATATCTTAACTTTGCTATTAACGTGGCTTCGTCGCGTCCGTCGGACCAGATGAGTGAAGCTGCTCTGTCTTTCCCAGTTTAATTTCAGCAAAATTCTCAAAGAAAAATATTCATTTATTAACTGGAATAACTTTGAATCTATTTCATTTCGCTTCTTATGATGTAAAAACGAAAACAATGATAATTGAAGCGCCGTGCGCAGAAAGGATATTTCTTGGTTTGGGTGTCTCAAAATCTCTAATAACATTTCATCCATTTTGATTGAAGCAAATGTATGTAATCCGTTGTAGCTTTTACTGAATACTCTTAATGATTTTACAATCCTGATACCGGAAATTTTCAGAAAATTCACGCAATAGTCTCCTCTGGAAAACATTAATTAGAAGTGGAGATCCTGAAACTTTGCAACCGAGAAATTCCCTTTTTGCACCCAAAGTCTCAATTTTCTCGTGACAATCTTAAAAGGATAATGCGCTGTCGCACAGTGGACTGAGTCAATTAGAAAGGTCGGACTTGAAATTTTTGATAAAAACTGCAAATTTTGATGTATTTTTTTTCAAATTTTAAAGTTTAAGGGGTTCTTCTTCAAGAAAATTTAACAAGGTTACTAACGGAACCACTTTTAGAACCTCAATGTTTTGTAAAAACGGAGTTATAAGCGTTTAAAGTTTCCAAATTATGTCCGACCTCGCTTATTGACTCGATCCACTGCGTGTGTCGTTAGAAAACTTAATTTTAATCTCTGTTTTATCTTACTATTTCAAGGTTCCCAACAAGTCAAGATTAGAAAGTTCGAAAGTAAAACAAGAAGCGGAAACCTCAAGCAGCACAACTCCTCTGGATTTAAGTCTAAGACGGGATTCTGCAGAGAGCGATGTGGTGGTGGACATGTCGGAGGACGAGAAAGAAAATCGGCAGAGTGAGGACAACACGACCGACCACGAAGACATAGTCTGCGCTCCTTCGATACCCCTCATGTTGTCAACTTCGTCAACATGCTCGTCTCCTTCTCCTGTACCTCTCTCCCCAGCAAGCTCTACCAGTCAAAGGAAGCGACCCAAACTGAATAACAGTAATAGTCCTAGTCCGCATTCTCAACCAATCTCCCCTGCGAACAGCATAAAGTCCTCCTCCAGGACACCCAATGGAGTCATAGGCTCAAAGTCTAACGAACCAGTCAAACGAAAAAGCAGCGCAGATTCCCTTGACTCCGCCTCTAATCTATCAAGTTTGCTTCTGGCAGCATCTAATGCTCAAAAGAAAGATCCGTCGATTCAACCGGAGCTACCATTCCCACCAGAGCTCATTCCTCACCTGTCGTCCAAGCTAAATTTAATGAAACAGAGCAAAGCGGTCCCCCCTCTATTGAGAGCGCCATCTGAACTTTTAAGCTCTGCTATTCTTCCACTGCTAACGCCTGAGGTTGCTCTTCAACTCTCCATACCCCCGATGGCACCTATGGCTGCAGCCCCTCCTGACGTCGTCGGCCCTCAAGTATTAGTCAAACAAGGAGTATCCAAATGTCAGGAGTGCAACATCATTTTTTGTAAATATGAGACATATCTCGCGCACAAGAAACATTACTGCTCCGCGCGGATCAATCCTGAATCTGAGGGCGATTCAAAGTCGAGTCCTCCGACCTCGCCGGCGAATAAAGTTACGCCCCCTCCTCCCTTGAAAGAAAGCCCGGGAACTCCTATCCCCCCTCCGCCCCTCGCTAGTCTGCCTGGGTCCAAAACTCCTCTCTACCAATTCATATGTGCGGCCTGCGGCATCAAGTTTACCTCCTTTGATAATTTGACAGCGCATCAAACGTTCTACTGTCCAAAGAGGCCATCCGTAGAAGCAGAAACTATCAAAAAATGTCATAAGTGTAAAGTAAGTACTACAATTTTTTAGTTTTTTTTTATCTTCATTTATATGTCCTCTCTTGGAACTTGCCTCGGACAGGGCCGGAATTCGGCATTATTTTGAGTATGACACACTTTCAGAGCTTCGTGTTCTATTTGTTGAACTTTTTGAACGTAGGTACCCTTCTACCTCTGCCAAAATTTTCTTTCAACTCTACTGTCAGTCAATCCTCGCTGTGTCGCTCAGTTCGATTTTAATACCAATTTTTTCACTAGCCCTTTTCTCTCCTTTATAGATACCTAGGGAATAGGAGGAAGATTTATTTAGCATCGTTCATCCTACATTTTTGGTCACTGTTTTTTTGGACGTTATGATCCGTTTTTCATATTTCGAATTCCGGATTTCGCTGACCAGGTTGTACCGACCTACGTCACGGGGTAAACAATCCTCCAGGTGCAGACAGCTTATTTTTTTTCGCTCTATGGGCACGTCGTCGTTACATCACCGGTTATCAAAGCGGACCCCCACAAGTATCTCCTCACCAATGAATAACTTGTTGCATCTTACAACATTGAAAGCAATTTTATTGATGCATTGTTTTGTGGACTGATCAAAAAATTTTGCTGGATTTCATTATTGTTTCCCAGGCTTATTAGCCCCTACCCCATAGCCCTAACGTTTCCCGCTTGTTTCCAATAACTCCATGAGAAATACACTTTTGAAAATTTGATTTCCCTTAAAGTGCTTATTGATAGAAAAAAAATCAAGTTCAGTATCGGCATCAGCGACCAAAATTGCATCGAATGGAGTCCCGTTAGTTGTTTAGGAGAACATATAATTGATCAATACGTAATCAGGAATAAATTTTCTATTCCATTGTACAATCATTTTTTTCTCTAGTCTATTTTCCTCTTATTATTTGTTAGTTAATTTTTCACTTTTTAATTTTTACAACAAAGTATTAAAGGTGCATTGTTTTCTTTAATTGTTCAGGCAAACATTATTGGGCCCTTGGAGCAACATCAATGCAGTGCGACTGGTGTTGGTGGCTGGCGGTGTTTGGTTTGTCCCCATGTAAGCGCAACATCTGGAGCAGCTCAGCGACATCTTGATTCTCACACCAACATTCGTGCCTTCCTGTGTTCAATATGTCGCTACAAAGGCAACACTTTACGTGGCATGCGAACGCACATCAGAATGCATTTCGACAAACGAACCTCAGATATTGTTGTGAGTATTTCCCCTTGTATGACAGGATGAATTGAAAAATTCATTTACAGAAAAAACCAAGATTTCTCTTCATCAATGAATAGCAAAATTATTGTGACGGTTTTTTTGTTATTCAAGTATAATAGTTCCTACTCTTTTAAACACGAGTCCTTTTTCTGTTGACTTTATCATCAAGTATAATTATTTCTCGTCTACTTACAATTCTAATACTATTGGCAACATTTAAGCATTGTTCTCTTATGGATGAAGGGCCGGATTTACCTACTTGCTGCCCTTGGGCTGCCTGTATTTTGCCCTTCTTATGCATTCGTTTTAAAACATCAATAAAAACCACCAAGTGAACGTGCCGGAGGGGAGGAGTGCATAAGACGCGTTTACTCGTGTTGGACACATTTTTGCGAAAGCCCTGTCAACACTACTAGCAAAAATTCACGGAACTTTGCGCGAAAGTTAAGTTCCGTAAACCTATCTGTGTGTAGACGAGGCCTTCCATTTATCAGAAATGAACGAAAAAATTATGAAAGAACTAACATATGTGGTTTAATCATTTTAACTTCCGCCGCCGCGCGCCGCGCTGACCGCACTGTGTCCGGCGTAATGCGTGATGTATTCCTTTAGTCTTGTAGGCGCTATGCGTTTCACGCCGCGCCGACCGCGACCGCTGCTGAACGCACTGTGTTTGACGCAATGCGTGAAGTATTCATGCAGTCTTGTAGGCGCTCTGCGTTTCCCGCTGACCGCACCTTGTTTGGAGCAATGCGTGAAGTATTCCTACAGTCTTGTAGGCGCCATGCTTTTCACGCCGACTGCTGCTGAACGCCCTGTGTTTGCGTGAAGTATTCGTGCAGTCTTGCAGGCCCTATTACGCGTTTCATGGCAATCGCTTCGCCGAGGACTTCTCCTTTTCATATCACGTCTCGTCGTGCTCTTTGCGCCGCGCCGTTCCAGGCCAAATTGCGTGTTTGCTTTCTCTTTTAACTCGGCTAATTAAAGGTGCTGTCTTTTGTATCACCGAAAGATGACAAAATTAGAGATTACTATACTCTCAGGAAATTATAGATTTTGTCGGCTTTTCTCGTTTGTAATTTTTTTTTTCTGGATCTGATTCATTTGTATACGTATACGTTAAAAAAAATTGCAAAATTTGCTGCCCCCTAAATTTGCCATCATGGGCCACGGCCTATGTGGCCACCCCATAAATCCGGCCCTGAATTGACGAATTTATCTTCAGGAAATCTTTCCGAGGTAAATGCTTGGTGATGAAACGAAACAAAACAAAACCAAAAATTAAAACACCCTCTTTTAATTCAAGTTTTTATTTATTACTTATTGATGCAAATTGTTATGTATTTATTATTTTTCTATTTCAGGAGGAAAATTACATATCTTGCCAAATCGAGTCCCCGAATCCCTCTCCATCATCAAAAGAGGGCCCTGAATCTACAAGTAAACCCAGCCCTGAAGATTCTTCAAGCTGTAATGGCAACGCAACTGACATCATCAAAGTTAAGAAGACTGAGGAGGAAGAGTTCATTGATGTAGATGACATCACCATCAAATCTGAGCCGATGGATGATAATTCAAATCAGAATGCTGAGATGAATGCTGCCTCTCCGGAAGATACCAACTCCCTCCCTGAGACTTTAAATAACAACAAAAAATTTGGATCTAATTATTGTAAATCTTGTGATATATCCTTTAATTATGTGAATAGCTTTTTGGTGCACAAGAAGTATTATTGTTCGAGCCATCAAGCCAATGAGGCCACCAATGGTAACAACAATGCGAAACCTCATGCCCGGCCAACTAGTACTCAAGTGACGTAGATGTAGCAGGAGAGCATTTAATTCTTAAATTTTCCTGTCCATATAGAAGATCCCCTATTATTCCAAAGAAAATAGGAGTTTTAACTTTTATTCTTTGCTTCTCTGTTGATATCTTTAATTTTATCCTTCATTTCCCCTTTATTTTTAAATCACTTCAAAATTTAGACTGATAATCAAATAAAAGATCTTTAGGGCTCAAAAAGTTCTGTGCGCACCTTTACAGAGATCACAGACTATTGATAGACATTGAGACCTCTGTATTGACAAGCTTACCTAAAATAAATGGCCTTGTCATTCATTCTGAGATGATTGATCTCTCTTTAGTATGTGCCCAATTTCTCAATAGGTACGTAATTACTTAATTTTTAAGACAACAAAAGTTAAAATTTTCGGCACTTATACCTCCCAGACAATTAATTTTAAGAATGAAAATCAAATTGATAAAAAGAGCGGAATAAATTGAATCGTAATAGACTTTGTATTAAATTTTTTTTAAAATTATTGACCCTTTTCATTGATAAATTGCAGCTTTCTATTTGAAGTAAGTACATTTATATTATTATATTTTCACTTCACTGCAATCAAAAAACATTTTTAGAAGTATGTGTGGTTTCTTCGGTAGAAACTTTTGAAATTTTACATTCTTTGTGAGTCATTCTTTGAGGATGCATAATAATTTAGATTTACGTGGCCTGAATGTTAATGTTGCTCTTTCCAGAATCCTTATCTGAAGAAATTACTTTATTCGGATACACCAAAAGAAGCTTCTGAGGGGAGATCTCTTATAACTTTGATATACTCTTAGAGCTTCTTCCTTCTTCCTATAATTTTACAGACCCTCACAATCAGTGGAAATCAAAAATAACATTTTCTTATCAATTTTTACTATTCTTTCACTTTCTCTCTAGTCGTTTTCAATTTTTTGTCTGAAGGAAAATGTTTTTGTAAGTGTATAATTTATTAGAGGAACTCTAGAACATTGGCTCAAATTGCAGTTTTTGGCAGACTGCTTTGAGGTGCAGTATAAAACTAAGCAAATTCATTTTATCACACTTTAAGCACATACCCCTCAGTATTTTCATCATAATTTTTATTTTACATTGTTGACTCTAAAGACAAGCCTACAGTAATAAGTATTGAGATCTTACAGTTATTGGTTTACTTTCGTCATTGAGAGACTCTTTCTGAAATTCTTACAGTTCTGTTGAATACCTAGGTAGATGGAAAATGAAGCACTGAGGATGTTAAGCCATAGATGTCCTTCAAAGACTCAATTTTGATCTCAAATTGCGTTAATATTGCATTTTTAAAATTGTCTTAAATTATTCTAAAATTTGCTGGATTTATCTACTTGTTAAGTTCAACAGAATTATACCTAAACTATTCTAACATCCCATTCATTTTGGTATTTACTGGACCTGATTGATGTTTAAAGAGTTTCCCTTCTATTTGCTTGATAAGTGGAAGTTGGGATCATAAGTGTGCGTAAACATGATTTTAGATCCAATGGATATTTAGGCACCATAAAAGTATGTGTGTATACCTCTATGAATGATCAGCAAGGCAATATTTGTCGCTGAAGTATTTTCATTTTTTTGAAATTTTTTTGAGCCAATGACTTTTTTTTTTAATTTTGGTGCTTGCAGCTAAAGCTGTAAAAAATATTTTCTTGTTAGTTACTTTTTTGAACATGCGAGTCCTCTTCCTGCTGCTTTGGTAACCAAGGCTACCCATATGTACACATGGGATTAAACTCATCTAAAATGAGTGCTTAGCTCCAGTTAATGTAATTTTGATTATTCAAAAAGAATATACATAAGTGCTCTACTCCTTTACAAATTAATTCATTTTTAGGAAGAACATGACTTATTTATCATGGCAATTTTCGTGAAATTTGTTTTTAACTGCAAATTTCAAGCCATAAATGACAGGTTAACTTTTTTGCTGAAAGAAAGGAGGAAAAGAAAGATCAATCTTTATAAACACTGTAACATTTTCATTATTTGTATGTTTTTTGTCATGATCAAATCCTCATGTAAACTGCTGAAGTTACCCTTTTTCATACTAAGGATGTGTAAAAATAAAAAATTTGAATGTTTTAAAATGAAAAATTTGAATGTTATAAAATAAAAAATTAGGGATGAAAAAGAAAGTACTTAGTTGAATAGTAAAAATACATTTTGGAAGGTATCTCTTAATACCAATAGAAGAAACAATTTAATCGGCCCGAAACCTTGACAAAGAAACAACTTAAATCAGGACTAAGGCCACAAATAATAACAAGGACACATAAAGTAAAATAAAAAGCCCGGAAACCGGGCTTGCAAGAATACAGGGCTCTTTTTACTTTATTTTATGTGTTCTTTTTATTATTCGCGGCCTTAGTCCCGATTTGAGTTGTTTCCTTCTCTGAATACCTTCTCTATTTGTCAAGAATATGTACTTGATGAACAGACAGGAGCTTTTCCTCTGTTGGTTACCCTACCTTTAATGTTATTAGGAGCTTGTCAAATCATTTAAATTAGTATTACTTCAATAAATTGGATACAAACTACCATTACATACAATATCGATTGCTGACTGCAAACATGCCTTCTCAGGTGCAACATAAAAAAATCTCCAATTATGTTTCATTTTTTTCATGGAAAACTCATCAAGATATTTCCTTGCAACTCTGTGTTATTTTTTCAGAGTGTGTGAATACAATTCACCGAAAAAAATCATAGAAGCTATGAGTGTTAGTCCTCTTTTAAAGGAAATAAAACATAATCGGATTCTTACAATGACCCAATTATAACTACGCTTTTTGCAACTTCAGCCTTTGATATGTACCATTGCAGCATGAAGACTGGATTGAAGGGATCATTTGGCAATATGCCAGGCAATGATAAATTCTGTGAAAGACTATAATTCCATTTTTAGGTAGTTTAAGTGATCTAAAATAATTTCCATGTTGTTTTAATTAAAGTAATTATTTTTACTGAAAGTTTTAAGTTATTTTATTTTTGACTGCGATACTTATAATTTAGCCCTAATGAAATGATCGTAGTATTTATGATTTCATATGTTGCCTACATATTTAGTATTGTCATGTGCAAAAATTCAAGTTTAAATCCGTAAGTAAAGGTATCTCAGAAGAATTGGTTTCAAGAAAGTTGAGAAAAGAAAAATTAGGTACCCAGTCAAACGGTAGGTAATATACACTTTTTAACTTTTTAAGGACTTGTGGAAAGTCAATTCTTCTGGAGAACCAACCGTCATAATGTAGTAGTAACTCAATTTGCCCTTAGACTAATCATTGTTTTGTTTCTTTGAAAAATATTTTTGTTTATTCCTGTAATATTTTCATATCTATTTGGTTACTCTCTTCTCTTTCTGTTTTACCCATCACAGTGTAACCACATTTAGGAAGTATTACCCTTTTGTAAAAAAGTTTTTTATTGTTTGTACAGTTGAAAATTTTGATAGATCTAAAGTCAAGTGGCAATCATATGCACATTCATACTAGTATCAATACTACCTACAACAAGGCAAACTGCCAACTACGAACTGCTCTCATATATTGAAAAATCCTCCGAAAGCTAGACTACCTATGCTAAACTAGGTAGATAAGCAAATATGACCTGTGCAGTTGGGAATTTTTGTATGATATGAACAATTTCTTCAAAGAGGAGGATCATTTTACACTCAATTGTATGTCTCACATTATCTACTTTATCATAACTAACTCTATCCCAGCAAAATGTAACATCTGTCTGGAAGACCACACCTACTCATTCTTATTCACTTAAAATTTCACCAAAATGAGACCTTTGTAAAAATAAAAACTCAGTTTTCATACATTTAAAGATAATATTTTGGAGGGAAACATTTTTTCCATAATATAAATCATCATTTAATGTGTTCTTTGTAGCCCCTTTAAAATGTTGTATGGATAGGTACTGAAAGGTGGTAAAATTTGTAACTTACCTTTTAAGCATCTGCCATAATTGTACATAGTACGTAGGTAGCTCCCCTAAGTGTAGGAATTCGGTGTTAAAGACGTTCATGTGTACTTTGTCTGTAAAATCCTCTGTACGTGTTTCAAATTTAAATATTTGTAAATAATCCACTTTACCTTTTGTTTTCTTTTTTTTTTATTTTATTTTGTATGATTTTTAGTTGTTTATAGCTTTCAAAGCTTAGGTTTCATATTTTGTATCTTTATTCGAGCTGGTCGTTAGTTTAAGTAAGAGAAAAATTAACGAGGAATAAATCCTCCAAAAGATTATTACCGTTTGTCATAGAATAATTTATCTGTTTCAATAAAATTTACATTGACTGGAAAGTAAAACATAATTTCTTGCTATTCATCATGAGAACATCCCAAGAATCCTGCATATTGTCCCTTTGGGTCATGAAAATATCTTATTGGAATTGGCTGATACATCAAGACATTTCAATAATTTTCTAAACTGGAAATGAATTGCAATAAATGCAACGCAAAAAACTTTAAATATCATGCAGATTTTTATTAAAATTTACGAAGACGAAGTATTGAAAATCAGTGGTTTCATAGGATGGTGCATTGGGCTCTAATCTAAAATTTTAGTATGAAATTTAAATATTTCAGTTGTAAATTCAATTCAGACATGAAAGTTCCACAGCTTTCAGCCCAAATACTAAGCCCAGCTGTATTCATCTGACAACTGCTTTAATCTTGGCTCCTACAAAAATGACTCACACAGGCTGCAGCTAATTTCTCGACTCTATTGACTTCCGACTTTCAGTCAGTCAAATAAAAGCAGATGCAACTTCTGTCTAAAAATTTTACCTGAGACAACCATTTCAGTTAAGAACCTAAGATAGGATGCTTGATTTCTTGTATCTACAAATCTCATCAAGAGTATTCTCATCTTCGAAACATGAAGCGATTTCTACCTTGATCGGTGAAAGACAAACTAAACAACCTACAGGTGACCACTCCTTATTAGGAGAACATTTTTTAATTGGAAAATCAACTCATTCGTACCTTGATGATGGCCAAACAGCAGATAACGAAAACTCCTTCAAATGAACTGATAGGCAACTTACTCTGACCAGCATGAATTATTGCATACTTTAAAAATGAAGGCGTTTCGTTGTGCGCCTGTTCGCTATAGTATGACTGCATACATACTTCGGTGCGTGTGATGAAGCAAAAAGAAGTCTCCGCAAGTTTTATTTTTCTTTTATCCATTTAGGACTACCTACTTATATAGAATCCCGATTGATCGCCACTTAAAAATCCCGAGGTTAAGTTGGAGAGTCCACTGTTTTCATGTGGGAGGTTAGTAAATGAAATCAAATTTAAAATTACGACTGATTTATAGAAGATGGAATATTTACAAATAAATTACAAATATGAATTACAAATAAAATGTAGGTACAGTTAGAAACTTAACAACAATACAAAATTAGTAGACCTATTCAGACACAATAGAATAAGGTACTTCCTTTTTTTCTTTTCATACATTTTAAGTTAAAACAACAGATAATGATTGGAAAGCAAGTGAGCAAATCATAAATAATCTTTCATCATTTTTAAAAAAATCGGTAAAATATTTTATTAATCAAGATTTGAATGTACACAGCAGCTATAAAACAAAAAGCACTAGCGAATAGTATTGCCTATTTTAGAAGGGATGAGCTTTCGCTAAAGAAGAGAATCACATATTCGACTAAAAGTCGGAAAAATATTCTTTGGCTAGTTTATATCACTGGAATATATTCAGTAAAGAATTTTCTTATTACATATGGTTTTTGATGGATTTAGAAAGTGGCAAATGGAACAGATCTGTCAACAGAATAACATATATTTTTTAGTGGCTCTGCTAACAATTAGGAACCCTGGTAAAAATTGGCAGTAGAATCTGTGTTCCAAAATACCATGACCTAAAGCCGGCTGCAAGATTTTCAATAGCTTCTGTAGCCGGCTCTACAATTTCTTATAGCCTAAATATTAGAGCAACACAAAGCGGATCGGTGACGCATTGGCACCTACAAACCTAACAGGGATACTTCACGCATTGCGCAAAAGCGCATTGACGCCTACAAACCTAACAGGGATACTTCATGCATTGCGCAAACGCGCATTAACGCCTGCAAACCTAACAGGGATACTTCACGCATTGCGCAATGCGTGAAGTATCCCTGTTAGGTTTGTAGGCGCCAGTGCGTCGCCGCTCCGCTTTGTGTTAGGCTCCAATATTTAATCTCGCGGAGCCGGCGTTTTTCAACTCATGATTTTGAAATGTTTGCACACTCTGTATGGATTATTCTCATTTTAATTGATGAAAGAAAAATATGTTTTAAATGAAAATATAATGTGTGCTTTGTAAATATTAAAGTAGTTCCGTATAAAACTTAATGATTTCCAAAGCACACGAATTTCTACACAATTTCTTATAGCCTTTTATAGCCAATGGCGATAAAGTGTAAAGCCCGGCGATAGGAACTATAGCCCGACTGTATACTTTTTTATAGCTTCGTATAGCCCGGCTGCATGATTTGATCCGCTTTCTACAGCCAGCTATATGATTTTCAATAGCCTTCTTTAGTCGGCTTTAAGAGCACCTATGGTATTTTGAAACGCAGCTCCTATCGTCAATTTTCACCAGGGAAACCTTATCTCTCAGCAACGCTATCCAGTTTTACAATGTGGAAGAACCAATAACGTAAAGCAATTGGAAGTCACCAATCGTAGAGGGCTGAGAAATGTCAAAAAAACATACAAAAATAAGATTGCCCGCAGAAATTAATTTCCAACCAACTTGGATCTTTTGATTGTGTAGAAATAATCTGTTGACGAGCGTTTATAATCAGCAACCTGCTGAGAAAATATTATACACCTAATCGCTCAAAGATAGAGGGTAGGAATTTGTATTCCGAACCTACAGCCTTCTTGTAAATATATTTAGACCAGTTTCAAAAGAAAATCATTTCTCTTTCGTGAAAGACTTGAGCAAAATTACGTGTAGACGGTGAAAGTCCGCAACCACGTCGGTATCTCGGTTTGTACCGTTCCAGATTTCCTGTCATGATTTATATTTAAATTGAAAACTACTCAACGGCAATACTTAAAAACTGCCGCGATGTTTCTTCTCTATTCTCTAAAGAAAATGTTGCGGAAACTTCGAGGAACGATGTTAATTTGCACACAAACGCGATACATTGTTGTGAACGTCTACCGTTGATATTTCTTGTTCAGTCCGACTTTGCCGTGCTGAGGAAGAACGCCGTATGAACATTCGAGAGTTGCCAAATTTCCCTTGATAAATCGTTCATTTTTGAGGAAAGTCATGTATATTTTTCAGAGTTTTCAACCCAACTTTAGGTAAAATTGTGAACAAAATTATCTGAAAAATTGGAAGAAAAATATTTACAAATTTTCCCGAAAATTCGTGAATTACCAACGGAAATTTGGCAACGCCTGAAGGCTCATACGGCGGTTTTCCTTCGCACAGCAGAACTGCTCTGCGGAGACTCAGCACCACTTTTCGGTTGGATTAATTCGAACGTAGGTTTTGGTGACACTCCTGGGCAGGCCCGGGGACTGATGGTGCTGAGTGGGGATAGGAGGCGCCTCACCTTTGTGATTCCGTTTCAGAGATTTCTTCGAGCCCGGTGAATCGCAAGAGTGCCTGGGCTGCGACGGCGAGGACTCGACCGACTGGAGACTGGCCGCCCTCGAGATGGACAACCGAATCGGCTTCTTCGGGGGGATCGGTTTCTGCGACAGGGACGGCGAGGGCGGGTGCTGGAGCTGCTGAAGCTTCCCATCCCTCTCAAGAGTGCTATTACCGTTCTTGTAGTGGTGCCTCAAGTTCGGCGACCCGTAGTCCGACCCGTAATCGTAAGTCTTCTTGCTCTTCAGGGAATTGAGCATTTGGTGGATGTTCTGCCGGGATGCATAGCCCCCGGGTTCCGAGTCACAGTCACCTCCGTTCACCTTCCGCCGGGAGTCGCTGAAGAACTGGTTTCGACTCCCGCGTAGGTTCACGCCCGTCTCCGACTTGGCGTACTCCATGAGGGTGTTCCTGGCGTTCCGCAGGTACTGGTTCCTGTGCTCGGACATGTTCTCGACTTTCTTCCCGTTCGGGACGCTCGGGGAGTTCCGCCGACTGAACTCGTCGGAGGAGTTGCACTCCAGGCTGGCGTTGGAGTATATCCGCTGCTTGGACTTGATCAGCGGCGACTTGCCGGCGTCGGACTCGAGGCTGTAGTGGTTCATGCCGTAGAGGATGGAGTCGCTCTTCTTCCTCTGGTGCAGGTGGATGTTGTCCTTGGTCTCCTGGATGTAGCCCTGGATGATGTCCAGCGAGTCCGCGCTGGCCTTCATCTCGCTCGACTTCTTCGGGAACGTGTCGTGGTTCGTGTGCTGGTGGTGCTTCTTCCGCCGGAAGTGCTTGGACATGAAGGACTCGAGCGAGGCTTTTCCTAGATCTAGGGACTTGGTGCTTTTTACATCGAGGGACTTCTCGGAGAGGACCTCGTCGGACTTGTGGTTGTTCTTTGGTCGGATCGTCGGCAGGCTGTTCTGCGTGAGGCCGGGGAGACCGGCCACCAGGGTCGTGACTTGGGGTCCCTTCTGGAAGACTTGGACTTCGCCCTTGGGCGGCAGGGACTTGTAGCTGGCGGGGGAGGGGGAG